TATGGATGCGACTTGACCGGCGGCCGAAAAGATTCCTTAATCGCCGAGGGGTACGATACGACGGTCTCAACGACCTTATCCGTGCCATGGGCGGCAAACACAAAGACATTGTTATAGGAAACTATAAGCAAGGCTTTCATGCGTACGGTTTATTCTTCAAAGATCATACCTGGCAGCAGAGGAACAATGGTAATGGAGCTCAGCTCCTAGTCGGATGCATTCCTTACGAGAGGGTCCAGGACAAAGTGACCAGGAGAACAATGGAGAAGCGAGACTACATTGGCGTGGTGAAAAACAACGCCTGGTCAATTGAAGAAATCGAGGCTCTTGGTAAGTGTACATCTGGTAATCCTCTTTTGGCTCGTTCAAACTATTAACAGACTGTACAGCCAGAGCTGAGATAGCCGGAAAGGTGTATCATCACCAAAGGTACAACTGTCAAACGTTCGCAGTCAACCTTGCGAACAGGTTGAAAGACAGATGATACTCGAAGCCAAAAAGATGAATTCATCTTGCTAGCGTAGCAGGCAATAGGTGATCGATGAGTGTTGATAGACAGGCAAAATAAACTTATTAATGTGGCAGCATCAACATGATATGCCACCGGTCCAAAAGACAACGGTTCACCATTGAAGAGGGGGAATTAGACGCGATTCTAAATGATATCCTGAATTCATATGCTCCCGTTTGCCCTTGTATTCCAACAAATTATTCAATTAACCCCCGTCCGGAGCCTGACCCATCCGAAGCCTGGAAGGGTCCTCGCCGCATCAAGCTGAGATTCGATTCGTGCCAATGGTTCCAATGCTCAGGCCGCGGGTATGTCCCATCCTCTGCACGGCCGTAGGTGTATGCTGTCCCCCCGGTGTATTCGGAGTTGGAGGGCAGCCGATGCGCCGGTCAACATAGACCTTCTTGTTGCTCCCTTCGACAAACTTCCAGATCAGCAGCTCGCCCACCCACCATTTGGCCAGCTCAAGGTCGGCAAAGTTGAAACAGAGGCCGCCGCATCGCGTGCTGGCAGAGATGCTGGTTATTCTCCCCGGCAGACGTAGCGATGTCTTGTGCCCATCCAGCTGGCAAGAGACTATGCCATTCCGGTCGCGGCTCTGGACGATTTTGTGGTAGCTCTTGGCCTGCTCTGGGTTCGGGAAGCCGATGATGATGCGGTTCGCTTGCAGGTCGATTTCCACGTTGAGTGGGCCTTGGATGTCATTTAACGAAAGGGACACAGGCGCCATCGGTTATTCAGGAATATCGTTAAAGACTTGGAATAGATGGAGAGAGGAAGAGCGTAGAGGATGTGCTGTTGAGAGGGATGGCAAAAGAAAGGGTTGATCGGTGCGCGCGGCTTCCTCCCCGCAGTTTGCCAACCTCATAATATGTCGGGATCCCACTATTTTTATTCTGCCACCCATCTGATCGATTTGGCAACCCACAGCTGTGCTTTGACGCATCTGCTGTGTTGATTGGACTGGGTTGCATGCTGATTGCATGAGAGTGGCTGGTCAGACCAGTGTAGAGCCTTCACAAACACCTGTATCATGTATGCCGAGCCCAGCTGAGCGCCACGTGGATGAGATACATCATACAGCTGAAAATACGGTGGGCAGAGCAAACCGTGGAGGAGGCAGCCACGATACCCGAACAGTAATAGCTGTGTTGATTGTCTTACAAACGCGTAATCACACCGCGCTGTTTTGGTGGTCTCGCACCAGTTGGGGGAGCCAGCCAAATAGAGACGTGTCTGTCTTGAAATGTGTGTGGCCGGGGGGGATCAAAAGCATACTTGGGCCGGACAGATAAAAGGGGCATTTATGATTCGGCACAACCGAAACAGGTGCTATCGGTTGTGGGCCGGCAACACCCATTCTTCTGTATGCAAGGAGTCTGATTTCTGGGACAGTAGGGCAGTTGGACAGCAGGGCAACAGAGCATCTACGTATCATAGCCGGAAGACATCTTTCCGCGGACTCCGCTCGGCGTTGTGCGGCCGGATGGCATATGCCACTAAGATCCCATAGAATAACAAAGCACTGATATAGGCAAAAATAAAATATTCAGAGACGGCTAAGATCATGCGAAAGCACTATTGCCAGTCCCGCAGCCGATCTTTCATGCCCACCAATGCTGAGCCACTTGCGCGTGAGCGTGAGCAGCCACCATCTCAGCTAAGCTCTGCTGTATGACAATATTGGCTAATATATTTGGCTCGGGCAATGGGAATATCTTGCACTTTTGCCGCATAGTCGGCCAAATATATCTAGAAATACGTATTACGGTAGCTTCTTTCAACAAAGGGCGTTTCTATGTCTGTCATCGCCGTCATCGATGAGTGGAATGATCCGTGTCGATCACCGCGCCGTGGGCTAGAAGCCGGCCTTGCCGTACCTGGCAAGCGATGGCTTAAGACCGGGGAATACTTGTTTACATTGTCTTAGAGCCTTGTTTGAGCTGACGGCAGTGAATTCACATTGATCTGATGAGCCTTTATTGTCATCCATTATAAAACATGGTTCGAGATATAATACTTTTAGCATATGTCATTGTTCTTATTATTATGTCTCGAACCCTGTTTTATAATGGACGACAATCATCGAGGCAGTTTCTATTTAATGCATGAAAAAAACACATCCAGTAAGTTTTCGAAGCGAATGGCCTTAGCGGAAGTATCAGTAGCGTTGTATGCCTTTCCAATGTTAAATCCATTATTATTTGAGGGCGACAAGCCACATGATTTATTCGTGGAATGTGAATCCATTCTAAAGTACTTCAAAAACGAGCTGAAAAACTCGCTTCGATATTATAAATTCTTCATTGCTTTGAGAGAGGAGATGGAAGTCATTTATACACAAGATCAAGCCTTGCGGCCAGAAAAGGGGCAGAGTTTGAGTAGTTCGTCCATGTCATCCATCGAATACCCACCAGACTGCATCTTCATCATCCCCATAGGACACATTGCCGGCGCTTCCTTCTTCTCTTCCTCATGCGTGCCGTTTGTGGCGCTCAACTCTCGCTGCTCGACCTTCTTCCCTGTCGCGAGGACCCTCTCCCCTTTGGCTAATTTGGACTGCGGGGGTCTTTCCCAGTTCAAAACCTCTCTTCCGTTCGCAAGGGCATCGATTCGCCGCTCGCAATAAGTGACGATTGACTTTGAGCGGGTTGATCCATCTTGCATGATGTATGAGCGGGAGATTGGCTCAGGCTCGGTCATGACCGGCCACTCAATGTGTTCAGGCGCTGCCTTGTAAGATAAAATCTGAGGTCCCGAGGCCCGGCGATCTTGCCACTCCTTGATCAACGCATGGAACTGGGGGCCGGGAGCATCCAGGACAACTTCGGGATGCTGGGCCCAATTTCTGGCCTGGATGTTTTTGAAACCTCGCTGGTCGTAATCTCCTCTGCGGGTGATGAACTCATACACTGTAGATGATACGCCGAGGATGTCGTCCCGGGCACCAAAGAGATCCTCAGATCCAACATGAACGGCGACGTTGAAGTTTGTCAGTTTAATGGAGTCCCTTTCAGCGTCGACAATGATGGTTTCAGCAGAGATGTTCTGATGCTGAATTCCGTACTTCAGATTCAGGTCATCGACGACATTGATTAACTGTTTGAGCCATTTGAGCTTGAATGTTGGCCGCTTCTGGTCTTTGAGCGACGCCCCATGCGTTGATTCCGTTGTGAATCCGATGGCCTTCGAACCTCCCTCGTCGACAACGATATTGTCGAACAGTGCTATATACGGGTGCCGCGGAAGACGTCTCCACAGATTCATCTCATCCCAGATTCGAAACATCCAAGCTCGGTCCCAGTAATATTTAAACTCCAGCTTTTGTCGTGATTAGTCTCCAGAGCCGATTACCTTTCTCGCCCATAAGGAAGCTACACATACCTTAGCCCCTGTGACTGTATGCGACACCAAGTCAATGCCAGGGCCAAGCCGATCAAGTTCAATGAGTTCTGAGCGTCGAATTGGATCACGGCCCTCCACAGGAGTCACCTCCTTGATTGGAGGATAGTAGACAGACATGGCCTGGTCATACTTGGGGTCTTTGGAGCTGGATATCAGCCTGCCACTAGGGGAAACGTGGATCAGGAAAATATCGGGGTCGATTTCGTCAATGTGCTTCTTGAGCTGTTCAATGGCAGGCTCCTCGTCATCAAGCTCTTGGTCCATTTTGACAGATATGTTGCGCCGCTGGTCCCAATCTAGAATATGCCACACACTCGGTCCATCTGGCGTGATATCACCACTGGTGGCGTAGAACCTATCCTTTTCGCTGATCATGATGACTTACAGCTTGATAATCGGTTGCTAATTGAATGAGGAAAGAGGCAATTGTCAACCTATAAAGACTAGGACAGTGATTCTTCTGACAAATAATCCTTCCGACCTGGCGACTTTGAATAAAACCCCAAAACTGAAATTGAAATCTCAGATTGAGGATTGGTCACCGACTCATCAAAATCGTACCACTCAGTCGGTCTCCGAGACCCAGAAAAACGATTACAAACGGTGAAGGGGGCCGGAGAGTGCCGGTGGAGAGTGAAGTTTCTTTTGACAGAGGCGGCCCTAAACTCGTTTTGTCTCTTACACCCGAGAGGATCCGTATCCTCATCCGATAAAAAACTCGAAAAGAGGAAAGATGAATGGGAAATTCTGGGATTCTCGGAGAGCAGGATTCCGCATCACGTGGACCAACGCATGAAGGGAGTCCCTGTATCCTGTCTGCTCCCTTGGTTAGCACGTTTTCCCTAAAATTAGCCATGCATGGATCAAGTTAAAGCCTCGGGTCAGTGCTCTAATTTGAATTCAATGCTTCATTCAAGTCGCTGTTCTCTTATATAGTCCAGATTAGGTATTTATGAGGTATCACAGCAGAAATAATACAAAATTAACCCCATCACGGGGACAGATATCAAACACACTTCTCCTGGCACAGACACCCAAGCCAGGCTTTTTGGCAAAACATAAACACAAAATACAATAAGCATCTTCAGCCTTCCTTCACCTGGTGGATATTGGCTAGACTAGCCCGCCGACTAACACAAGGAGTGCCCCGTGGGGTTCCGCGTGGAGTGACGCGGCTTTCGCCAAAGAACCGTTGCTGCTGGCTGAACCGCCTTCCAGCGCCTGGTCGCTCAACCGAGCCTAATGCAGGTGTCAATGTCAGCGATTGTTTAAATGGGGATGATGGGAAGGGGGGCAACTTACTTCGGCGGTCTTCGGGATCGTGGACGGCGCTGACTCGTCGGCCCATGCCGTGGCCTTCGGTGCGCGACGCCTCGGCCAGCTTCTGGGCGAAGGGCGAACGCTTCCGCAGCGTGGGGCCCTTCCAGTAGATGACATAGACGGCGATGACGAGGACGAACGAGATGGCGAAGAGGATCGTGCATGCGTACTCGAGGTTGCGGCCGCTCTCGGCTCCAATGTTCTGCATGAAGGGGAGGGCGGGGACGGTCAAGACACCGGCGAGGAAATCACGAGCCCAGCCGTTGCCGCCGGTGGCGGAGGCCGAGTATGGGCCGTAGGCGCAGATCATGTAGTCGATGGTGGCCATGTAGATGGCGTAGTTGGCAATGCCGATGAGGGCGGCGAAGATCATGGATGCGATCCAGTGAATGGGAGGACCCTGGATGGTCCAGGCGAACCCGATCAGGCCAATTGGCAGGCAGGGTGCGGTATAGAGGAGGAACCACAGCCTCGACTCGTACTGGGCACGTTCGTCGTGGGGTTTGGCAGCCCGCTCCTTGATGTTTCGCTGGATGGCGGGGATGAAGAGGATCCATGCGAGGACGTATCCAACACCAATGGAGAGGAAGGAGAGTCCAATCTGGACAGTGTCGAAGTCCCACTTCTTGTAGACCAGGCCGAAAGACTGGATGAACATGAAGATAAGAGCGTCGGAGAATCCTGAAAGCAGGGACAAGACCAGCACAATGGGCTCAGTGAGGAACATCTTGAAGGGTCGGAGCCAGGTAGAGATGATCTCCTTGGCGGAGAAGCGGTCGGCGAAGGGCACAAGCTCATCAGGGCCCCAGACGTTGGCGCTGGGGTCTTCCTGTCTACGCTTCTTGGCGATGCGGTTCATCATGATGGTAGTTCTAGTCTCGGGGACGGTGAAGAAGTGGATGATTTGGACGGCAGCGCCGAGGATGAGTTGGACCCAGATAGACCAGGTCCAGTGGAGGTACTCCTCGGTGAATCCACCGACGATGGGACCAAGCACGGAGCCACCGACGGAGGAGAAGACGACATAGGCGACGGCATACTGCTGGGTGTCTGCCTCCCACATGTCGGCAATCATACCCAGAGTGACGGAGCCACCAGCTGTGGACAGGCCACCGAGGGCTCGGCCGATGAGGACGGTGGCAAAGTTGGGAGCGAGGGCAACGGGAAGCTGCCAGATGTTGACGAGGAGCATAGATAACTGGAGGACAGGCCAGCGACCGAACTCCTCGGACCAGGGAGCCCAGAGCTCACATCCAAAGGCGTAGAAGACGAGGAAGATCATGGCACCGCAGCGGGCAGCCTGGTCGCTGACGTTGAATTCCTCAGCAATGCCCGGGATGGCATTGGAGTACAGAGAGGTGTTGAAGTTCATGGAGACCTGAACCCAGAAGATGACGGTGAGGATGTACCACTTCTTGAGCCAGGGGAAGCTGTATCCGAGCTCCTCGTAGCAGTCATCCTCGGTGATTTCGTACTTGTCGTGGGTGCCCAGCTTCTCAATGTTGGCACCCTTGCCCTCGTATGCAGCAATGGTGTCGCTATTGGTGCTGTGGCTGATATGCTCTGTTGAGCCTGAGCCAGAACCATCACTTCGGAGCTTCTCGCTGGCGCGCTCGAGGTCGGCATGGATCACGAGGTCGGCAGAGCCGTCCTTCATGTGGTCAGAAGGCATCTTGGTGGAAGCCCCGACTGGGTGAGAATGATATCCAAGACGAAGAGGAGAGCGTTAGGCCAGAATTGAGGCCCTGTCTGTTAGATGACACAATGAGGATGGGGATTAGAATTAACGTTAGGTTCGGGGACTGCGGAGAGTCCTTATAGTTGATGGAGTTCTGGGGCAGAGCGAGCACATGGAGAGCTCTCTGGATGCGTATAGGATCAACTCCTCCCCAGAGGGGCCGGATGCGGGATAGTAGACACTGACATCACCTTCTAGACGGGCCCTTTGCGGCTCTCAATTCCATAACCCTGCGCTACTACAACATGCAGGATGCAAGGACCGGCCAGGCTAGTGCTGCTCCCAGACTACCTGCGCAAGGGCCGTTGTTTTGCCCGCACTCGGTTGTCACGGAAGCAAAAGAATACGGTTGCCTGCGGTGGAAACATCATCAACAATGGGGGCACGAACAAGACACGGTCATTCCTGTGGAGCTGCTGCTGGGGATCCGGCGGAGGGGGTCCGCACTTAACGCACGTCGAGGATCATGGCGGTGTTCTGGGATGGCTACATGCAGGCCAGGCTATTTACCAGTACATGCCAAAGGATCAATCAAGACGGCGGCGGTCTGCGAGCAGGTAGATTGCTGTTGTCTCAGAAGCCGGCTACGATGGCAATCCGAGACAGCCACCCGGATGAGGCAAAGGCACAGAACCAGGCTGGCTCCCTTCCCGGTAGTTGTCAAATAGCATGTCTCAAATGGGAACAGCTCCCACTGCCACTGGCCCTCCCACGCAGAAGCCGCAGATTCGGCCCGTTGTTTGCAGCTAGGATTAGACTTGGCTCCGGCTGGTGGTGTGCAGGGTCGAGCTACAGGAAAACTCTACCCATGGCATCATCCACGGCCAGAAGACGTTGGACAGTCGCCTCAAAAAGTGGCTCGACCATCATCTGGGCCGTCTGGTTTTTAGGAATGACGTTGTGACTTTTGGCTACGCGCTATCAAGTCGGGAATAATATCATCTTGCAGCATCAAGTGGAGAGTATCGGCACGCCTTTGCCGGCCAGAGCCCCAGTTTCTGCTCCATCTAGGCAAGAGGAGCAGCTGCTTATTCTTGCTGCTTGTCAAGCTGATGTCTGTCGCAAATGACGCTGTCAACCAGGTCCAAGGACGAAATCGTGATGGGAGGGGGCCAAGACAGGTCTCACTCGAGCCAGAGTCGACGGTCGAGAACGTGCCACACTAGAAGCTTGATTGATATTCATCTCAAACCATGTTGAAAGCGGCCCTCTTCCCACCGGGCTTGTTTTTCGCCCATTGCTCCCGTTTTCTGGGCTCCTGACCTGCAAATTGTGCCCAATTGGCTTTGGGTAGCGCACGCCTGATGATGACGCTTGCGCTGAAACGGAACTGCCAACGATTTGATGATCGATCGGAAAGTTCAATCAAGCTCTTGGCACAGATCCACTATTGATACTGCATCCTTCTCATCCTTGCTGGGAGAGTCACGATCGCCCGGCAGGGTCAGAAAATGGTGCCCGCGATCCGATGATGAGCGGCGGATGCGCCCCTTGCCAATCAACCATGGTTCTCTCATACGCGGTATCATTGCCCGTGGAGCCATGCTTACCATGGACTTTTGAAACATCACCATCATCATGAGAGATACCAGGAAAAACTGTCGATTTTTTTCCCAAGTTCTCCAGTTTACCATGAGGTAAAAGGTGAAATGGGTCTTGGTTTGATGGAGCTGCCCGTCTTAGCTGGTGGTTCCATCCAGCAGGCAGCAGCATTAAATTATGAAGATCTTTATTCCTCTCTCCATCTTTTCAGGTCATTCTGCAGAGAAAAATTGCATTCATGAGCGAATATACCGCGATGAACGAGACATGGTCAATCGAGCGGTCTGGGGGTGCAACTTTGTCTCTTGCTACCCAGCCAAACGGTGCTCACCTCCATTGATCGTCTCGGGATACCTATTCGGGGATTTTCACTGGAATGCGAGATCCCCATGGAGAAGGAAACTTTATCGACTCTGAGTTTTGGCTGCTGTTGCGGGGAAATTAAGCCTCGGTCAGAGGAAAGGTTAGATAAGGTAGCAAGTAGTCAGTCTACTGGGAAGCTTTGAGTCTCAGTGAGAGTAAAGATACGCCAGCAAGCTGTAGATTGAATCGGATCTCTGGCCGAGACATGAAAACTACCACCGAACATGCCTATCATAAGGTGTTGTGATGTTGCAAGTGTTGTCGAAATGGCTGGACAGCTGCCTGTAGTGAGACGCCTGAAGCATCAGGATTTACAGCACTTCGGGAAAGCCTCCAGAAGGAATTACAGCGCCCGTATCGTACTGGAGGCCGCTATGATGACCCACGTCCTCTGTAGCAACGCCCTAACAGATCGTCGCGAGCACTACATATTGGTCGCTGGGACACTCAGGAAGTCATCAACTAACCGTGCCCGGTTAGCTCAATCGGTAGAGCGTGAGACTCTTACGAGTTCACATCTCAAGGTTGCGGGTTCGACCCCCGCATCGGGCTATTCCTATAATCGATTCTTTTTTTGCAAATTCAAATTTTACTCAGTTCTTTTTCTTTTTTTCGTTCGGCTTTGAGGTTTTTCTTTTTAGCAGCTAACTTGTAGACAAGATATTCATATTATCTTATGCACTTTCAAGCATTGAAGATTGATCTCATTGGTGTCTGCTAGTACGCGGGTGTTGATATTTGAAAATAGTCAACGATTTATTGTCATGTTACTCAATATGCAACGCACCGGTGAAAAAAAATCGCTAACGACATCCTCCTGGATGCAGTTCAAACTATATTTGCCCATGATCAAAGGCTTTTGACCCATGGGTAAATCTTATTGACCAGGATTTACGATATGTTGGTTTGCTGGTATAGGGTAGCTACACGACACTGGAAGACCCGCATCCACTAATCGACGTTGGTCATTGACGCGTGAAAAAAAAACAACGCGACAAGAGACTAGACCGAGCAACGATTCCTTAATCGTGGTTATTGTTGTTGGTTCTTTCGCTGTAGGAATGAGTTGAGGATATGTTAAAATCTTCGTTTCCCCCAGACCTTACCCACCTCTAGCCGACAAGTGTTCATCAATTTTGGCCAGCCGTTCTAAACGCGGGCGAAATTTTTACTTTCGTGCGTTCAACGTCGTGAATTAGGGCTTTGGGAAAGAAGAACATCACTGGTTCGGCCTAAGCGGGGTCAACAAGAGCTCCTACTTGCCCGAGGCTACTTACCACGAAGCTGGACACGGGTCTCCTAGTCGAAGTTGGAAAACATCTGACCCAACCACATTCACTTGCCGTCACAAGGATGATCTCTTTGGCAAATAATCAAGTGTTCAAACTAGTCCTGATCCTGGGTATATAGAACATTCTGAGAATGAGAAAAAGGAAAGACAAAAGGAAAAGAAGATACCAGCCTAGATACACTGGCAAGAATGAAACCCATCGTAGCGTACAAAGTAAATCCCAATCGTATACAAGCCGGCAGCGTACATTTAAAGGCTGCCTCAGCGCCAATTCCACCAAGTTTCTACCTCTTTGATTACAGTTTCATACTGACTGTAGCATTGCATCCTGTAAGACTTCCCCTTGTTGGCCTTTTCTTCCCAAATGATGATGAAGTCTGTCGCATTCTCAGGGTTAAGTGTGATGGCCTTGGAACAGTCAGTTTACTTTGTATGCTAATATGGAGACAATGAATAGACGTACAACAATCTTCAAGTTCTTTTTCTTGGATAGTATTTCTTTAAGAGCTTGATAGTGCCCCTTGAGACCATATGTGAAGCTGTGTGAGGGCTTGACACCTCGGCTGTTCCTGTAGGCGATGACATATGCACCGTCATAGCCAAGTCCCACAGTAACGATGCGAGGGCCATCTCGCTTCTTGGGATCGTATACCTTGAGGGCGTTTTTGAGGTTATCGGGTACGTTGGAGCTCCAGGATGACTTCCACCGAGCGTAGTAGGTCTGGTTGGGCCCAAGGGTGCAAGCCTTTAGATGATCGACTCCATGGGTCGCCAGGGCTTCTTGAAGTCGTGGATATTCGACTTTTAGATTTTCACTCATCTCTGATAGGTTAGGTTAGCTGGGTTGGCGGAACAACAAAGGATAGTCTTGATGTGCTTCACGTACCGACACCATCCGAGTAACGGGCCAGCCAAGTTGGACTCTCGCCGCACTTCTTCCCAAGAAAAACGGAGCGGAGCTGTTTTGATCCTGATGCCGGTGTCTGACCAGGTCCCTCGTTACTAGCCATCTATGTTAGAGTGATTGGAGGAGAAAGGTAAGGTTGCAGGCGACGCTAGAGCTGCTCACCAACGAGTAATCACAGGGCTTATGCACGTATAATAAACGCCTGACATTGAGATGGAAAATGCTAGCTTCCCTTTGCGGCAGTGCCATGGCTTGAGCCTTTTGTGGTGGTGCTCCAACTCGGAGTGCATATATTCGGCGCTCAGACGGTTCGCTAGGATGTCCACTTTTTCGTTCATCTCTTTGATCTGCGCGGTGTGGGCGTTCTGCTCATCGTACATCTTCTGCTGCAATTTGCTAAGGCGGGCGTCTCGCTGCGAGATGAGACTTTCCATGTTGAACCGAAGGGCCACGGTGTCTTGCTCGACTCGCTGTATCTTGACCGTGTACTCATCCCGGACCTCCTTGAGGGCCTCCTCTGCCTCTTGGTCGCGTTGTTTAATGGCCTCCCTCATCTGCTCTTCGACCTCGTGCAGCCGCTTTGCCCACTTCTCCTGCTCCTTGAGCAACTCGCTCTTGAGCTCCCGACCTGCCGACGTTTGATCGAGGGTGAGGTTTTCGTCAATCAATTGCTTCTGTAAATCTGTGGTGATGCAGTTGCTGTGTCCGATGAGTTGGTGCACCAACTCCTTGGCCGAGCTCTCATTGTGGCCGTGTCGACGGACAGAGCTTCCTTTGCTCACCATCCAGCCCCAGAACTCGGAGGTATGGATCAGCTCCTCCTCTCGCCTTGTTCCCTCCTCCTGCGACACCTTATCCCACATGGTGGTCACAAGAATTACCTGCTTCAGGGCATCTTGACCACATAGCTGCTTGAACATGAGGAGGTTCTTCTTGGCGGACCCCTGCATACGAACGTCGGTGATGCGATGAAGATAGATAATGCCGCTGAGCAGGATCTTGCTCTTATACGAGCTTCCGAGCCAAACGGCAATCTCGCTGAGGACTTCTGTGTCGCTCTTGTTGGTGTCGTCGAAGCCAGGGGTATCGATGAGGTATACGGTTTGATCAGGCGACATGTCGTATGCGTAGACATCGACAATGGCCGTACCTGTTCCCATTAGGCTCACGGTGCTCCGAGGGGAGATTGATGATGGGGTCACGTACATGCTTCCAGAGTGTGGCCAATTCGGACGGCCTTCCCCGAACATAATGAGATGAATGAACTCTTACCCGACCCCGTGACGCCCATTACGGCAATGAAGGCATCGTTTGGTCTACATTTTTCGATATAGATGAGTATGTGTACATGTAAAAACAGCAGGAGTGAGCGTACCTCGCAGTGCGACCTCCTCGGAAGTCTTCAGGTTCTGGTGGCTCCCGGGTGGCCGGGGCCGCATCCTCTGGCTGATCGTTTTCCGGCATGGCTGGAGCATCATAGAATTCTTCACATCCGTCGTCAGACATGGCTGTGATACCGCGAGTTGGGATCTTACGTGAGTGGGCAGGCCCAGCATGCACCAGGGCCATGGTGGTCACATAGGCGATTATAAGGCCGCTGGGAGGGAAAGATTCACGGCATATTCCTCCGTCCGGCGGGGACCTGTGTGACTGTTAAGTTTCAAAAAGAATGAGGCACTGCCTGTGTAACATGCTGCGAGTCTGGACGCCTTGAGCTAACGAGCCTCACATTTGTTTGCGGATTTCATGCGTGTCAAAGTGTTGGAAATGATGCCTAACCCCCGTCAGGTTGGGCTGCTCGACCGGGCCAGAAATAAACTATGCTGGATGGCACGCACATGTAGGTAAAAAGCAGGGTTGCATTGGCGGTTTCACAGGCCGCGGCCATTGGGCAGAGGTCTCGCCCAGTGGCCAAGGATGACCGCATAGCTGCATGATTGCTGTGGATGCAACGGTAGAAGCTGCATATTTACGTCTGCGATGTTTTCCAGAGGGCCGTCATTCGCGCCACGCACGACACACACGGTTATCAATTGCAGCTGACTCCAGTCAGAGGAAGCGAGGAGTAAGCCACAGACGCATCACATCACCAATAAATGCTCGGATTCGAGTGATAGCTGTGCTTCTACGGGTCACTCGGCCAGGCATGACACCATATTGAGCGCATCTTTGTGCCCCAGGGGCCCCTCCCTTCCCCCCTTCGCTTGAGTGCTGGATCCGCCCATCATGAGAGCGATCTCCACGTTCCGGCCACGATAGGCATGTCTCGCTGTGATGGTGCCCCGCGTCCTCCCGGCTGACCACCATTATGGGAGGGACAATACGGCATGCCTTATCGTATGCCTTAACGGTGGCGTAGGTGCCATTTGTACGAGAGTGTCACCAATCAGTTTGCCCTCATCGGCCGATGGGCAGAGCGGGGTTTCGGACACAGCACATTGGTTTGGGCACAGCACATCTGCATCCTCCCTGGAGCACTGCCACTCTATCCACTGCTTGAGTGCTGAGCAGTGCCGTGTACCGGAAGTTGGTTCGCCGAGGCAGATTTCTCGCTGCACTGATGAGTCTGGGGAGCGCTGAGCCCACCCAAACACACCAGACGGTCCGGGTGTCGGTTTTTTAATAATTTGCACTTCTCAGCATCAAACGGTATAGGCACTTCTAGGCACTTCGGTCGAATCTTCCTGAAGCTCTGGTTGTAAGATCGGAGTCAAATTGTTCTCCGTGTATCTTGAGAAAACCAAAATGAACCCCGAAATAGAGAGCGTGAATGAGCGACTCGAAGATCAGGCCCGACGACTTTCAGCTTTAATTGGCGCAACAAAGCCCCGTGCCACTGACAGATTTTTCTTGGTCCTGGGTAGAACAGGCTCGGGCAAGAGTACATTCATATCCCGCTGCACAGGAAAAGATACCAATATTAGCCATGGTCTCTTCTCATGTAAGAGGCGTTTCTCCCTTATCAATTGCGAGCCGTTGTATAATAATTCTGGCTAGGCACCGACTCATTGGATGTGTTTGACATGAGATGGGAGGGACGTCGCATTTACTTGATTGACACTCCTGGATTCAATGACACAAACAGGCCAGAAATTGACACGTTGAGTGTCTTGGCCACTTACCTGGGCGCATCTTACTCAAATGGCGTGCGAATTTCTGGCGTGTTGATGCTGCATCCAATATCCGACAATCGAATGTCTGGCACCAACATGCGGACCATTGAGATGATAGAGGCCATGTGTGGATTTGACAGTTATGATAACTTGGCCATTGCCACGACGATGTGGCCGGAACAGTCCACCAAATACGACAGGGCGACACTCAATGCCCGCGAGGCCGAGCTCGCTGGAAGCAATAAATTCTATGGTTCGATGATATCCAAAGGCGCAGCAATGTTTAGGCTCCATGTTACAGGGAGAAAAGGCCAGAATGGCGAAGTCTTCTCAGCAGAGCGCATCTTGGCCCATCTCATCCGCCGATCGGATCTTCATGCTCCAAAGGCCCTACGACTACAAAAGGAATTGATTGACGAAAAGAAGACCATAGGCGAAACATCGGCCGGGGCCGTCATTGCCGCCGATATTTCCAGACACCACCAAGTCCGGGAGAGCGCATTGCAGCAGTTGGAGGAGAGGATACGAGAACACATATATGGTGGTAGTAAATCACGCCTTGCTGAACTACGGCAAAGCAAAGCCGCGTGGCAGCAAGAGTTGAAAAAATTAGAGGAGGGTAACGAAAAGTTGAGACAATCGATGGAAGACCTTGGCGCAAAGGAGTTTCAGAAAGCAAAACAGAAGATCGATGAGATTGAAGACCATCTCATGGAGCAGGTAAATCTCAAAGAGGAGGACTTGAAGGACATGGAGGATTCTCTTCACCACATAAACAATGACCGATCTATGGCATTGATCCTCCCTAAAACGCCAGAACCAGACGACGGCTCTAGGTCAAGTAGACAGAACCAAACGAGCCGACAACGGACGCCATCTCCCACGCCTTCGGCTACACCATCAACTGCACCATCTACTATCGAGAGGCATCTCTTGAGCCAGAATGAGGAACTTATGAGGTTGGTCAGGATAGCCAGGAGAGATGCGAGCGAGATGCGTAGGATATATGCAGCGTTCAAAGGAAAGACAAGAGACCAAGCCATAAATGGTACGGTAAACGGGGTTGCTGCCGGGGCCATGTCTGGCATTATCGCTGCTGGTGAGACTAACTTTTCCCTTTCCTATAATGTGACTAACAGTTTACGGGATTTTAGTCGCTGCAGGAGGGCTCCTCTGTTCTGTAATGTAGCAGGATTGTTGGTAATTTTGGAACGAAAAGGAATAGATTTACTTTGCATATTCTTGTTTATGGAGCAAGTACTCGTTTGTATAATGACTAGGAAAGAGGTTCCACGCGAAGCTGTCACCTACTATAATTCTCAGCAGCCCATCTAATATGGTATTCGATTGGAAAGATATGTTTTTTCGGAAGATGTCAATGAGGAAATGGCATCTTTGGTTTAGCATCCTCTTATTGTGAGGGCGGTAAAGAGACTAGATGCTAAAGAGATGAGGCCATCACCATCAACCAAGCGCGTAATTGGTTTAGTGGTAAAATTCTCCGTTGCCATCCGAGCAGCGTCGGGGAGCCCTGGGTTCGATTCCCAGATTACGCATTTTTGCTGTTTCAGATGGCTCTTCGGCTGGTGGGTTCTTCATTTTTGAGGTTGGGGTTAACTGGAACTATGGGAGAGACTATCAACCCCCGGTTATTCCCAGATCCCCGGAAACGGGGCTCATGAAATCGAAGGGAACTATAAGTTCTGGAATATGAAAGCTTGGTGGCATGTTCACAGGTTGGGTTGCGCAAGTGTTTAAACTACAAACGATAATTAGGGTGCTTCAATTTCATGTGCTTAACTAAACGATCATAACGAATATTATCAAACTCCGTCCCACATTCTGGACATGGGCGTTTGGAAACGTCCCGCCCCGTTCTTGCAGCCTCCGCTCGGTGAGTCGTTACCATGTGGCGGTCTAAGTCCCTCTCATACGCAAAGCGCTTAGAACACATAGGCATAGGACATCCCTCCGGTTTATATTCCTTTCTTTGATTTTTCCTTGCGCAGACTTATCAGTTTCTACCTTCTATTCCTGCTGGGGACGAACACTTACTTGAGGTCTTTAGGGTCCTTTCTTTTACGTCTCTTTGGTTCCCTTGTACCGTCCTTCTCACTCCGTTGCAAGGGTGTTTCTGGGCTGGGTATGCCAATTGGTTTTGGCAGCAATGGGCGCCCAGGCGGACTAATTATCTGAGTTGTCCGTGGAGCCTGATCATAGAAAATTGGGACAGGCATTGAACCCATTGAATAAGGATATCCCCTGTGGGACAGAGGAAGAACATCGTTGCAAGTGAAGAAACCTGAGTAATCATTGAGAAACATACCCGCTTCTTGGTGCATAAAGATGCTGCTCGGATCTAGTATCTCATGATTCTGTAGGTTAGGAGATTCAGCGAGCAAAGACTGATATTCGAGGTCACATCCACTGATGCTTCCTGGATTACAGTTGTCGAAGGCAATATCCTCAAACCCGTTGGATGAGCTCGCACTTGTATCTTGTTCGTCCTCGATATTGAGGTCCTCCGAGACGGTTGGGAGTGTTAATACTCTGGGGTCAATAGTGCCATCCTCAAAGGATGCGAAAAAATGGTGTTGTGGCTCGCTGTGATCCATGGCGAACCAGCTGAGCGAGAATGAATTGCCCACCTCGTGGGTATTGAAGTTTGTTGTTGTATGTTATGCAAGCAGTTATATTGTGTAGTGATACCTCGACTTTGATCAAAGTATGTAAATGGACACCTTTTACCGACGCTATCCGGGTCCAGCAATCTGGTACCTCTGCTTTGGTTAGAACCTAGACATCATTGATGAAACAATCTGGTCATGGTCTCACCATCACAAGAGGTCATGACATATGTTCGGAAGCCACGCGACAATGCCTAGCGCCCGGTAAAGTATCCGAACGGGTACCTGAAAGTTGAGGATTTGTGAAGACAAAGACTCTGTTGCCCAAGCTAAGGCATGGCAACATCAATGCCTTCACAAAAGGTCCTCAACCGTCAAGTATCATAGCTGATACTTTATCTGACCTATGTATCGCCATTAGCATATTGCCCATAAAAGTGTTCAAGAATTTACCAATCATGGCAAGAGAAACAACTTACTGGCTGCCACCTTGTAATTGCTAAAGCTGGGAATGTGGTACTGACGCGGCCACAACGATGTATGAGGGAGGGCGGCACCGCATGACGTGATGTGGCATGGCATGCGGTGCCGCCCCGGTGAACTTGGAGTGTTAGACGCCTTTGAGGATAGGTGTTTTCAATGACTAGATAGACTAGGTAGGTGTTTGGTCAATCAAAGAGACTGGAAAGGAGCGAAGCGGAGATGTTAGACGGAAGTAGATGGATGAAGAAGAGAGGAATCAAAACGAGGGTATCGCTTGGGGGCGGTACTTATAGGCATAGGTAGCAGTGAGAGCTGACAGAGTACCACCAAAGGTAGGGGTCAGTTGCAGCCATCCGGATTTTGATTGGTCTTCACATGGAGGCCGTCAATTAAGATATCACTGAAGCACCAATAGGGTGGAGAAGCACTTCAGCTGCGTTTCTTTCGTCTGAGACACTTTAGAGCATCCCAACCGAGCGGGGGCGTAATGCCCTCACGCCCGAGAGTGATGCCATCAACCATACAAAAGCACCTTCAATATATCTCCTTGTTTGCTTCCGCCACTTTTTCTTGAATCACTTCACATCTTCTGATCTTACTTATCTTACTCATCTTATTGACCTTACTGATCATCATCTACCTCATCTACCTCATCTACCTCATCTACCTCATCTACCTCATTTGTCGTTTCAACTGATTTTACTCATCACGAGCGATTTAACACCTGGTCAACAGTGTTGTCCCTCACAATGTCTGTCAAAAACGAATATCAGCATTTCATTCCCCAATTTCTCATCAAGAACTTTGCGTACCCTTTCAAATGCCCGAAAGCCGAGCTGGCTGGGAAGAAGAAGAAGTGCAAATGCAGACATGAGAAGGGAAAATATCCTAATGACCTAGTCGTCAACTGTGTCAACCTCCATACCACGCCTTTTTCAATCGATGTCCGCTCAGTCAAGAGAATTTTTGGCTCCCCCGGCATGTACTTGGACCCGAACCAGCCAACAACCAGCCAGCAACGCCGTATTGAAAGCATGTTCAGCAAATTGGAATCTCATGCGAGCTCCATCTTCCGGAAGATTGTCAAGTCCTACGAGGCCGGCGATGGAGCCATGTCGCTGACTAGACTTGAGCGAGATAATGTCAGAAAGTTCTTCTTTATATTGAAGTATCGTGGCAGTACTTTCCATCGTCGATTCTACCATGATAGGGCCAGCGACTACAACGCCGACGACCGCGAAAGGTTGCACGAGTATATGAGGCAACGCGGATTCTCTAGTCCGAGAGATGTCTGGTACCATAATCTGGAATGTATCATGAATTTGAAAATGGATGTGAAGGGAGAGTGGAGGGAAGAGCTTCCGCGCCAAATGTTCTCCGATGACGCCCGCTGGTTCATTATGCATGTTGACTTTTTTTACATGGCTTTCTGTACACCAGTTGATCTGGACGATGAGTTTGTTCTGACCGAAAACTGCTACAATATCTTCGAAGGACCCAACACCTTCATGAAAGATGAGAGCACAGGCGAAGAACACGGATCCTACCATGGCAGTTTTCATGAATTCGCCACCATTTCCCCGCGCCTGGTGGTCGTGCTACGGTCCTTAGCACTGCCAAATCGCCGGGAAGACATGGATCCTGAGGTGAGGAAATGGCGTCAAGAAACATATGACGCAGCCTATGGAGAGCCCTTTGGTCCAGGATTGAAGTCACTCCTTCACGATCTCCCAATTGAGAAGGCAACGAACTCCTACAGCCAAATCGTTGGAGATTATGTTGTCCAGTTACCGGAACATGATGGCAAGTTTCGCCCAAATGACAAATTCGTGTTTCAATATTATCCTATTAGCCCTCGACACGTTCAGACACTGAACAATCTCTTCCTGGAAAACGCTGACAGAAGCGACACCCTGGCCTTCAAGAACCAAACCACCTTCCTCAAGATACTCGAGGCTTACATTAGTGGCCCATGCGAATCGTTCAAAATCGCGGGTGGCCCCGACAAAGAGATTCGACTACAGTATCTCCAAGGGCTAGAGGCTCTTGCTAAGAATATGGGATCTCAGAAGACTCTTCTATACAGGGAGATGACCATACCGTGGGGCATTGATTCTAAACGATTTATGGAAAAGCAATTGGCCTACCGTGAGCTGATAGGCCCTACGGGAGAAATAAATCGTCAGAATAGTCCAGGACCAGAGTTTTTTGACATCTATGAAAAACTCCACAAGAAGAGTAAAAAGATTTTGTCCCTTGAAGAAGGCCCATGGGATTCGCTAACAGTATTTAGAGGTAGATCTCAATCCGCTGGGAGACATAGGTTTGGCCAGGAGAATGGCTCTATTTCACATCAAGGTTGAAGCAGAGTCGATTATTACAGGACAATTAGAGGCTCTACTAATGGCGCGAAAGTCGCTTCAATCCGTACTTCAAACCTCAAGTTGTGCAGTATATTGGCTTTATTTGAAGCTATGGCGCAAATATATGTTTGGAGATGCTGATGGAACTTCAGATCTCGTGGACCTTATTGCAGATGATAAAGTAAGGGTCGGCCCAGAAGATGCCTTTGCGAAAAGTGAGTGTCTATCAGCTTCTCCCCCCTTTGGCACCTTCATTGCTCACATCAACAGCCGCCCATTTGTATAACGAGAATGCCTTGAAGAATCTTATGTTTACTTCCGTTTGCCAAGATTTTACTTTGAGAAAGGGAAAGGCGGGTAGTGTCTGGAAAACCCGTTCAGAGACTCTCATCAATGCACCGGATTTTCTTATTTATCATTATGCTCTCTTTCTTACGACAGGTATGGAAAACAAGAAGACTTCTGCAGAAAGATAAATAAGCAAATCATCGCTAACAACCGAACAGGAAGCATCAAGAATTGCGGTATAGTGAAATTCTGGACACGCTACAATGTCCTATCGCTAACATCGTTGTAGGGATTAGAAAGATTGAGATACTCGCTGAGTGGGAAGAGAGAAAGGCTCTACAGTCTTCGAGCTTTGGACACCTTGGTTTGTATCCTTATCTAGACGAGGAAGAGAAACTTGAGTTGGCGATACGAACTCAAGTTAGATCCAAATTTCAAGCTGCTATGTTTGGAGGAGCAGAGCCTGAAGCCCTCAAGGAGTTGGAGCACGTTCTCTTCACGCTCACATTTCCAACACCACCTTGTGAGGGCTTTTCAATGCCTTCAGGACACCCTATCTATGCGGAGGCTAGGCCTGAGGCGGTATATTATTGATATTTATCGTTCTATAGCCAAATAATATTGATATTAGATAGCGCCTAGCTGTGGGAGGATGAATCAACGGATGCATTTAGGCATGGATTCTGTTTGCAAACACCGACTCAACCATACCAATTCGTGCACACGCTGATTCATGCAACCTCGGAGGCCAAAGTCAGTCATTCTAAAACAGCTCAATGTATTTAGCTTGCTTGTTGTTGTATTACCCACTCAGAAGAGAAGGTAGAAAACTGTTGGCTCTATTTAACGGATGGGTAAGGGCTTCTTTTCCCTTCTCCTGACCTCGACTGCACGATAGTACAGCATCTCATCTTCTACATCTTTGACGACCGCATTCATGTCAATCTTTTCTCCAGAACTAACAACCCGCCCTATCTTCCAGGTTAGTAGCTCACACTCCCAGCAGCCACAGATCGAATAGTTTTTGCCAAAATGCTTCATATACAGCCCTGCTGTCCGATCAAACCCGCTGCTAAGCTTAACAGCAGCAATCTTGTCGTCATGATTGATGAATCGGCCTACCCTCGCCTTCATGTCTTCTGCATACTGTGAGGCCATGCACTGATGGGTATGCCAAATCAAATCAATATCCAGCGTCGGGACGAGCATAGTTCCAGGCTCCCGTTTCATGAGCTCAAGAAACTCGTCGTACCGGTTGATGGCTCTCTCTAGAGTGCCCTCAAGACCGGGACTGCGGATCCAGAGGTGATCATGCATCTTTTCCACAAAGAAAAACTGGCGTTTCACGGCTTCACGAAGCTCCTCTGCGATATGAACCGGGACGTGTTTAAACGCTATTGAGTATAGCTGGATCGATTTCGCCTTCTCTCCTTTAGGGAGCAGATGTGAGAGCTTTTCCGCTGGTGATTTACCAAATGAAAAGTCGTGCAGTCCAATGTACGTTTTCTCCCTGACCGGGGCAGTCTGGACCGGCCACTCCTTGAAAATGGTAAAGAGATGTGATCTCATCGCCGTGTGCTTAATGAAATCTTGTTTCTCGAGCGATGTGAGGTTAAACTCCCAAGTTTTGTTGTTCAGGTGATTGTGGAAGCGTTCCCAGGGGAATTTGATATTGATGATGGGATCTTCCGTGAAGTACATATGAAGCATAACCGGATTGAGAAGGAGAGAATGCCACACCATTAAGACATCAAGGGGTGGACAGTAGTCAACACTCTTTGAGCCAGGCTTTAGGGATTCTTTCCATATAAAGAACCGAATAACGGCAAATTCGATGTACTTCAGCCACTTTCCGTTGTGCCATTTCGAAATAGTCTTCTCGCTAGGTTTAAGGAGGCTCGAATATCCCATTGTGGCACTGATTTTCTTGGAATTTAGAACCTGACTTCGAACCTTGAAGAGCGTTTCGAGGAACTCCAGATGGACCGCACATTCTGCGATGAGAGGAGGATTCCATGACGAGCCTGGAGAAGTCGACGAACAGAATGGTTTTGGGTTCGCAAATTCGAAAAGATGAGGGGCGGGGATTTCGAGAGCTTGTTCAGGCTTTGTAGCTGTTGGAGCGGTATTGGACAGGTACTTGTTGTATACTGCATTGGTGGATGCCGTGGACTGGCTATGAAGAGATGAGATATTATCATTCGGAATATTTGGGCCTGGAGCGTGAAATGCGAGTTTTGAAGGCATCTTGTGGCTGAGTTTGCACTTTGGCGCTGGGGAGTTCGCGAAAGTCAAGGCATGTAGATCTTGAATCCTATTGTCAGTGTGTGAGCTTAACTGTCATATCAGATCACAAGTCTCATGATACGGTCCTGCATCTAGCGGCGTCCAAATATGCGCACATTATCCAAAATCTGCCTTACTGTGGATAAACACGCGGGTTTATCAATGGCACAGCCACGATCTATCCCCACATACCCATGTCTGACTGGAGATCGCTATCTCGGCTTCTGGATATGGCGCATCGTGTAAGTTTGGTGATATAAACGGCAACAAATATGTCAAAACGTTCAGGCAGCTACTCACGGTTGTGTAGAGGAACCTAGCTTCAGATGTTAGTTGCGCCTCCACAAGAGGAGTTTCCTCACTCATGACATTATCATACGGTTGATCTTGTCTAGCTTTGTTTTCACATAAAGAACAGACAGTAATAGCAAGATAGAAGTAACAGTTAAGATCAAGATACCGACTAATCACCACCACCTCCTCCTCCTCCACATCCACCACCACAACCGCCACCACCTCCTCCTCCGCCTCCGCCAGAGTCACCACCACCTCCAGAATCACCTCCCTTATGGTCGCATCCATCGCCGCTTGAGCCTCCTACGTATCCTCCTGGATATTCCTGCATATACCACATGTTACCCGAAGTTCTTGACCAGTCCCAAGCGTCTGCCTTTCCGTACGGCACCTCTGAGAAGTAGCGACTGCTGGAATGGCCTTGAGATACAGCCCCATACGACTGTTCCAATCTTGTCTCTTTGCGCTTCATCTGCTGGTCTCGTCTTTGTTCATAATCGTGCCTTCTGGACTGCTGTGAGCCTTTGACCCAATCTGCCACAAACAGTGCCCCGATTGCTCCACCACGCCCGATTTTGGAGTGATCAAAGTGATGGCTGTGCGGCTGTGCTCGGTGGATGCTACCCAGTTTCACTCGTTGTACGTCCGGGGCAACGTCTTGGCCGCTTAACCATTGAGTTGCTTTCCGGATTTCAGGGCTCTGGGCCATGGCAGTGGCTGCTGTGAGAAGACTGTCGTGTGCTAGAAGGAGGCCGAGTCTGTTTCGAAACCATTCTGTCCGGCTCATTTGGCTTTTCGCAAAATTGATGTCTGTGTGATATTGTGCGTAAATAGAAGCATCGCGTTCAAGGTGCATGGATATAATAGACCATGCATCAAAGGGAGACGCCCACACATGCTTCGATATGTTACATGACCCGCATTTGATGTGATGTTCGCCATAGGCCTCGGTGCAGTCCCATGGGAATAGGTTTTGATTGGGGTATAGTGGCTTCTCAAAGGCCCCGAAGTCTGTCCAATATTCTGAGAGACTGTCAATCAAGTCAGAGTCTTCGTGACGTGCATGTTGTAAGCGAAGAAGATATTCCTCCACGAAGCCATTTGGTGAGTCGTGTTTAGACCATGGAGTTACAACCAGAGGACCACTTGATTTGGTCACAAAGCTCATGAGATAAGCTGGTTTGGTCGAGGTCTCGGATATGGTTGAGCCAAACAGTGGCTGGATATGATCGAAATCAAGGAGATTTTCGCAAAAGTCCTTGCAGTTGTTGGACGCAAAATTCCAAGCCAGGTGAAACTTTGAACCTGCCAGCCTGCTAGCGATCGCTCTCAGATGAAGATCGACATAATTAGAGAGGTATTCCTTCAAGGCGGTCATCAATGACCTCACATACTCCTTCTGAGATTCTTCTTTGGCTTCGCTGCCTTCTAATAGAAGGGATGAAATACGGTCTTCTGCTTCCTTATCCAAATACCCGCAAAATGTCCCCCCGACCACTTGTTTCGCGATGAGCTTGTATCGCTTCAGCTTTGGGGGCCTTCTCTGACTATAGAGGACCTTCTTATCATTTCCAGTCAGGAGAAGGCTCCGCTCACTTTCGTCCGTTACCGAGACTTTAACTGGTGGAAGCAGGTTAATTTGATTTCGAGTGGTGATAATAACACCACCATTGGTACTATGGCTCAGAAGTTAGCTTAATTCACACGCTGCCAGGAAAATGAGACGTACTTAGCTACTCCATTTTCAAAGACAAGAGTTCCAAACCTCACAGCCATATGAACATGTCCAAAGGGATGCTGAGGTTGCGCCGGGCGAAAATAGGGAGGTGTGCCTCCACCCTCCTTGTGAATCTCATCTGACCCAAACTCTGGCATGTAATACTCCCACTGGCTTACGTATCCAGATGTTCTGAATCCTTTGATCGAAGCCTTGTTAGTATCGAGGAGCATCTCTACCGAAATCTCCTGCAATGACTTGTTCTTATCCTGCTTCAGCCGCGTTGAGTCAAACTTGGCCTCGGCCAAGTATTTGTCCAGATTTGTCAGTCCACATTGAATGTGTCGTCGGCCCAGGTCACCATCTAGAGGAAACAACTTGCCCTTCACCCCTTCAGCTTGAGCTTGTGCAACTTGGCTACAACCACAAAGCTGTTGGCTGATCTCTGCCGTGATGTCATCGTCTAGAGGACATGTTTTCAGCTTCTTGTAATAGTCCTGGCTGCCGTGATTTGGTGAGGTGAGATAACAGTTCTGGCACAGAACCTCCTTAGAGTCAGATATCTTGACAAACATAGAACCTCTGATAATTGCGTGGCACTGGCCACAGGTTACATTTTGGTGCTTCAACGTTGAGGTGCCCGGATCCATAGTTAACTTCAGCTGGGCCGGGGCCAGTCTGAGGCCATTGTGAAGTGGTTCTCGGTGCTCGACGATTTTGTCAAAGTCCAGCCACTGGGCAGCCTGGAGAAGCATGCGCGCACGGTGTTTGAGGGTGTCCTTCTTACTCTCATACTCGATCAGCTTCCTGGCGGCAGTGCGTCGCTGCTCGCTCTCGGCGTCTGCAAGGATCTCCCACGCCCGGTTCCTCAAGGAATCGGTATATGTGGCGTGCGAGGAGACCCCATTCTCCCAGGACTTGCTGCGCTGACTTTCACAGACATGATCTAGAAATGTCTCGTAGCCATAGATGACCATGCCATCCTCCTCCTCTTCCATTCGCGGGATGTCTTCGGAGCGCCATTCGGCCAGAGTGCGCATAATGAGTTCTACATCCCGCCCGACACCTTCCCAGTACAATTGAAGGAGCTGTGTGTGCAGGTGTTCCTGGGCTGGGCCAATCTTAGTCCGGGGCAGGTCAGGCGAGTCGGTGATATGGGAGGGCTTGAAAGGACCAACCGCAAGGGAGGCAGAACGCAGCCTTGCGGTCACTGAAGAGCGCATATCGGTGGTGTTATACACTCGACAGCGGAGTGAGATATCGACGGCCAAAGAGCGAATACTTATCGTTCCATGCT